TTATGAAACAGGAGGGCAGAGAACCGGTCTGCCGCTTGGGACTCGGGGAGTCGAGAACGATTCACAGTGGAGCAGAATCCCGCCACAGAAAGGGAACGGCCGATGTTTTTTCCTGGAGAACTCACAGAGAGGTGCCCATGATTTCCGCAATCGGAGCCTGAATCACCCCAGTGCCAGAAGGAAAGCGGAAGCAGCAGGATCCCCCACGAAGAGGAAGCAGACGCTTACTAAACCGTGTAAGGCCAAAGGCAGGGGGTGCGACCAGCTCCGCTTTCCAAGCCGGAGACCCAGATTCCCGCCCCTTTCTCAGGCGCGCTGGCTCGCCTCCTCCCGCCTTCCCGCGTCGCTTACAGGCCACGAGATGACTGACAGGTGTTTCCGTCCAATCGGTGGGCTCCGCCTTGGGGGCACGTCGACCCCTGCCGGGTCTTCGGTGCCTGGAGCTAGAGGCGGCNCCACGAGGGCCCCGCCGGCGCGACCACGGAGCCGCGGTCCCTGGGTCAACCTGGGGCGGCCGGCCCAGAACCGTCCGATGAGGTAGGCTGGGTTTGTGGTCGCCCTGTATGACAGGTTGGAAAACCGAGGCCCCGGGGTCAGATGGCTTGGCGGGGCTCGCTAGAGGCCCGCGGACGGAGACCGTAGCCCGGGCGTTCCTTTCTGTTTGCTGAACTCTGCGCGAGCCTCCGGCGGAGGAGGAGAGGCAGGGCCACTGTGCTCGTCATGGAAGCAACAGAGAAGTCGCAGCACGCCCGAGCCCCGCCCCTCCCCCCCTCCCCAGGTGCTCGGGCCGGGATTCGGGGATGGATGCACGTCGTGAGGTCCCCATGCTTCCATTCTGGGGTCCAGCCCCGAGCTGGCGCCTGGGGCCCTCCAGAGTGACCAGGAGTGGTGACTGGGGCTGATGCGTGGGTTTATTCAGTCACTGTCGGTTACGGGCCTCTTCTGTTCATCAAGAAAAGCCCTGTTTAAAACCAACAAAAAATAGAAATGGAACCACGAGTCATGAATGCGCAGGCCATGGTTTCGGTTCACTGCTCTGCCCACTCAAGGACAGCTGGCCATTTTCTGAGATCTCAGGAGAGTGCTTACTTTTGGTCTAGGGTTAGAAAGGAATTTTTTTCTCTCTCTCTTTTAATTCAAACATGGGTTGACATTGTGGAACTTTTCTTATTCACTTAATAAGGCGATTGTTCACCATGTGATACAGAGGGAATCACTGAATTCATCGTTTCACTGAGTAAATAGTTTGGATAAGTTTAGCATGGTAACAAAGTAACAAGTCTAACCTCTAAATACAGTAGAATGGGTCCAGTTTGTTCTTCTCAGGTTTCTCTGTTGGGAAGGGTTCTAAAAGATAATTCCCATCTGGATACCATCTACCCATACACCTCTTACTAGCAGGATCTCACAAAACAAAAGAACTTATGGTATCTTTTATTTGTGAATTCTAATAATAAGGTGGTGGATGACTTATACTCATAAGGTGAAAATGTGTACTGTGCACTATGTAGAATAATATGCCTACGTATATAGTATTTTGTATTGTCACGAAGAACTTATTCTCTTTAGACCGCATTATTATATTGCATAAAACTGCATTAAAGAAATGAAATGAAAACTTTTTGTGGACTTTTCCTAACTTATGTTCACATTGGACAGTTTATCTGATACCAGTGCCATGTGTTGTTTAGGTGTTGGAAATTGAATAGTAAACGATTTAAATAAAGTTCCTGCCCTCAAAGACCTTACATTTTGGT